CCTCTATCATTCAACATTCATTGCGCGAAACATGATTTGAGCACATATAAGTAATCTGATTTAATAAAACTTGACGTGTAAAATACGGACAGTTATTGTATTCTGAAAATTAGTACCCGAAATATGAGATCATAATTAACTGTGATTATTTTTATCAGTGTTATGCGAGTACGACGAACCTGACAACCATAACGAGAACCTTGACATTCTAAGAGGAGGAGGAGACCTAGGAGAGTGCCGGCGGAACGTTCTCGGGGTGAGTAGAGAATCTATCATTAATTTTAACATTAATCTTCTGAAATACGTATTATCTATTTTTGGCATAGCTATATAATTTCGATATGTTTTTCAGTCCATTGTAATCAATATTACAACTCTCGTTGCTGCGCATTGTATCGGTGAGTGTAAATTATTTTTTATTTCGAAATAATAAAAAATTTGTATTTATTCGAAAATATCAGATATAATATATATCAAATGAATGTACTAAATTAAAGCAAAAAAATATATATATATTGAATTAGATGAATTAGGACTAGTTTGGAATATTTAATCTTGGAATTTGCAAAACTTGATTTCTTTTTTAAGTGACGATAGAACATTTTAAGATCAATTTCTTAATATGTAATTAATTATTCATTATTTATTTCCACCATAATCCGAGACAACATTTTAAGAGCATATTCTGTAGATTAATTAAATACCTTACTGTTACATTAGTACATTTGATTAATTTCTTTATTTAAAAAAATATTAATATAAACATTAAAATAACTGTTTAAGGGACATATTTTGTATAATAAATTTCGAGAGATTTTATATCGATTACTACAACTGAAACTTTAACTCAGTGAAAATAGCGAATTTACCAAGTCGAAAATTACGTATTCCGTCTGATCATTTTCAGTCTTAACTACTAAACTTTGCCATTTCAAGCTGAACGTATATTTACTTAAGTAAACTAATGCAAATACTAACAAATCTTGATTAAATTTTCTCAAATATACACATATAAACAGAAATATTAAACGAGATATCTACAGTCACGTATTATGAATAACGAATACATAATTCCGAGAGAAATAACAGTTATGTTTGATTCAGTATCGATTTTCGATAGGGATATGAACAAACTTATTATTAGTTCAGTATCGTAGTTTTCATAAAACAAATAAATGTAGAGATTGCGCGTTCATAACATCGAAATCAGATTTTTCCTAAAATTCTATTGATTTTATTTCCAAACAATAACATGATTGCGAAAGGTATTTTTTCAAGAAGATCCAAAATTGTTTGCACTGAAATATTCGAAATAAAGTTTACATTGAAAAAAGTTACATATTCGACATCTTGAGCCGCGATAGTGAATTGCGTAAGAAAATATAAAGATCATGAAGATTTTTAATTAGTGATGCATTGACAAAGTCGGATGAGCCGATATCAATTGTACATCTGCTACTTCGTTTTACAAAGATTAAATCCTCAACCTCGTATATACGTATGTTAACGTTTTACGCTGCATGTACAAACATGAATACGTACATTCATGCGATGGACAACCATTTGCTCGTTTGCTTTTCATACTATTTCGGAGAGAGCGGCATTTCATCGCAAGTCGTATTTAGTTAAAATATTGTTAAGCAAAATTAAGTAAATTCCAATTTATTATTTGTCTTTTCTATCGCAGCTCTGCGCGATTCTTTTTAATATTTTTTTTCTCTAAATATATAATTTATATGAAAATATATATATTTGGTCGGCCACAACGGTAAAGATGTTCCTTATTTCTAGACAAACTTTTCGTTTACTTTGATGCACCTTCCTCTACTTTTAACGTGAGTTTTAAACGATGTGCATACTAGAACAGACTTGAATTATCTCACGACGTTTTGCATGTAGAAAACGTGGAGTGAAATTTTACCTTTAATAACTAGCGTCATGCGCGCATGGTTTGTTCGCTAAAAGGCATTTCGCTATTATTACAACGCTTCTTTGTGGCCACGTGTATAAAGCGTTCTTATTACTATCTATCCATGGTGTACAAATATGCGAGTTTGTTTGTCGACGGGATACAGTGCAGGGATACGGTGCACTATATAAAAATAGTACACGCACGCGATATATATATATATATATATATATATATATATATATATATACATACACATCTATAAAAAAAATTATTAACTGTGTACGTGCGCCGAACGGTAAACAACTATTGCACAGAGTGTTTTTGGACAAACCGCAAAGTGTATTCGATTTTTGTTCTACTCGTGTAAAACTACACAGGACGCAATGAAAAAGGAGAAAGAGAAATAGGAAATAGAAGTATAGCGCATATAATCCGCACATGAAAGCTCGCGAATAGCATTGTTGAAGGCGCATTGTTGTTATCCACGTGCATATCTCGTACTTCGAATGAATTACTGAATCGTAAACTACAAGACGCTGTAGAATAAATTAAACAGGATAATTACGCTGGCTGAACATTAACGCCGCGGCAGTATTGCGAATATCGGGGGGTATTATATCATCCAAACGTTTAATTAAGCTGCTTAGGTGCTATTCAGCATTCTGGAAATACAAAATGTTATTTAACACGAAAAGTTCTTAAAATATACAGGGAATCCAGACTTGTTAACTTTTCTTATTAATCGCGAAATATAATGGTATCAACATAGCGTTTTTTTGTACGGAATTAAAATGCTACCGTAATCATTAACTTTTTTCCCCGCTTTATTTAACTTTTTCCGTACTTGCACACGATATTATAACAATGAAAAAATGTTCTGTATTCATTTCATCAATTACATTTTCAAATTCATTTTATCTTCCATATCTGTTTATGATTGCGCTATTTGTTTTTTAATATGTAGTAATTGTTTCGTGGAAACCATACTAATAGTAAATAATTTAAATTCTTTTTATTGGGTATTGTTTTGTGCACTTAACGCTTTGAGTTTTTTATATTTTTTAAAAATCAATAGTGTATATGTACTTTAGATTAATGTTTCACAATTTTTGAACGAAATTTAATTTCATATTATTTTCCCATTTTACCGTGCACTTTATTTTAGCTCGTTCGATCGGCAATACATATAACGGTTTTCTACAAAATTCGTTCAATCTCGCATATTGCGGCGCCGTTATAATTAGCGATCAATCGATAAAGACGCATTCATCGAAATTACAAGCTGGCAAGATCAATCCGCATTGTGATTATCAAATTTTATTTTGTGGACCGTCGCGGAAGTATAGATCAGCAGCTGTTAAAAGCGCTATAGCTACAAAATAACACAAAATAACGATGACGCGCATTTAACCGCACGTAAAAGCTTTATTCCAGAGAGAAAAAAATCACTCGTGCGACGTTCAATATGAATTTCACACCAAATCATATGCCGCATTCGTTGCGTGCCCGTGGCACGACTTTAAATTCTAATTAATCATTTCGAGCGACACTCATTATAAGCGCAATCGGCATCGCGACTCTTGGGAATGAAATATTTTTCAAAAAATAAATTGATTTGTATATGTACTGCTACAGCTCTTTTTTTACGCATGACTTATTAAAAATACCTTATACATTTACGTTGCAAATTGCTATTGATTGCATTACGATTACATCGCTGATACCATTTGCTCTTTTTATTTTTCGAGTATTCTCAGGAAGACTCAATATGAAGTACAAAAAAGTTATCTCGATATTTCATATTAGCAGTTTTTGCAATGCTAACCCGAGGTAACGTGTACGAATACGCGCAGAAGAAAATTATTTCGGGTTAACTTGGGCGTTATTAAGTTTCCAGTACGCTTAAATGTTGTAAAGAAATTTTCATGTCGTTTTTTTTTTACTTCAAAAGTGACACAACTAAAAAAAATTAAGTCTCTCAGATAAAAAGAAAAACTTTTTTAATTTAACTGAAAATTATTAGCCAGATAATATCTCGACAAAAGAATATACTTTTAGAAACATGATTAAATGTCATTTTTGTCATTTTCATTTCACCTTTAAAAAACTACTCTTTTTGAGGTTGCGATGAATTTTTGATATCCTACAAAATTATAACAAATTTGGAATGATGCAAAAGTGATATAATTTAAAATATCACTAACAGTTTAATATTTATCTTGATCAGCTATAATAATTGAATTTAAAATAAAATAATTTCTTCTTTAAATTTAAATTGTTTTAACTCTAAATGTTTTCTCCGTAGAAGATTCCTTTTTATTTACAATTCAAAATATGTCACTCTTGTAGAAGATACTATATAATCTCTTTGATAACTTAATAACGACACAAATGCTATTTGGTGGATAGACTGTGAAGTTTACTTTTGTTTAGTAAATTATAGTTTATTTTTAATAGAATAATCTTTATATCTAACTCAAACATTTACGGTAATAATTAGAAAATTACATTTTTCATGTCACTTTTGAAGTAAGAAACTAACAATGTTTTGTCGCAATATGGAATGAACGAACACGAATGTTTGGTGCAACGTAACAAAGAGGCCACTCTTCAATCGCTCTTTCATTCTCTGACACAGTTATTTTAATAGGCATGTGTATTTTCTCGTCATTTTTCGTCTTATTTCGAACGAACGAGCGGAAAACTCGCGCTCGCGGAAAAATACAAGAAATTGCGGATGCGGAGCGCGCAAAAAGGTACGCTGACATCTGCCAGAACCAGCCTAGGGCGACCCATTTATTTCCACGGGATTACCCGAATTTCAGATTCTCTTATCGCTCTAGCAATGTGCGCTTATGCGTTTCCAACTCGGCTAATTAGCGCTTGGTACTTGTTCTGCCGCGAGCGTCGACGCGCCGCGCCGCGCCGCGCCGCGTCGAGCTGAGTTTAGCCGCGTTTCTTATGAAAATTTCACCGGCTGCTTACCTTGTAATTTCCCACTTTCCTGATGGTACAGGAGAGGGCGACCTCTTTGCCAATAGCGGCGGTCACGTTGCCGATCGGCTCGGAGAAGCTCGGCACATCTGTGAACCAAAAGAAGCTTCGCGTTATGCTCCTAATTAACTTCAGACACTTTAAGATCCTTGTACAAGCTACGCGTGATACCTTATAAAATTTTAACTGATAGACTTTTTAAATGAAGTTCTAAAAGAGAGAAATAAAAGTGAGAGAGAGAGAGAGAGAGAAGAGGATGGGAATATCGTTGTCATTTATATTTAGAAACAGGTTGTCTGAATAGAAGTTTAATTGCATGAAGCTTCCTGAAACTCGCGATTGTAGTTTTAACAATGTTTTTTCACAGATATATAAAGAACTTTTCAACAAAATATCCAAAGGCAAACGTCGTATTTATCGACTTTTTAATATTCATTATCGGATATCTTGATAATATAAAATATTAAAATTATGATTAAACTGTGGAATCGAGCGAATGACAAGTATTAAAAGTTACATAAATTATCACGAATTATAGTATTGTTTGTTCGCTGAACCTTCAATTACATTGATCATAGAATAGATAAAATAATGAATTAACTACAATAGATCAATCGTCTTCGCAGATCAATCAATATTACTTCCAGAATAATTCTCTCTAGAGTGAATTATAATTCAGGTTACACCGCGCGTAAACTTAAAAATAATTTATAATCAGGAAACAATGGAAAATTTAAAATAATGATTATGGACAACTCCCTCAAATAAGGTAATTAAAATCATATAAAGCAGTTAACCCTAGCTATACACATTGGGATCCCAGAAACCCCAATGAAATTTACTAAAGAGATTTTTTTGTATTCCTGAACTTTTCCTTTTCTTTGAATCTATATATATCTCGAAGCTCCTTAAGTCTTTTGAATTTCAGACATCATGGACTTATTCCTTAATCAATTCTTCATCGATTGAAAAAAAAATTAATTGAAATATGTCCATTTTTACGGAAATTATGGTAACAAATATTGATAAGGTCCCAAGCATTCAAGTGTGTAATCAAGGGTAAAAAAAAGTGTGTGTAGAATTAATATTGCTCAACATTAACTATAATATTAGGAGAAAGTATTAAAATAATTCTAAACCTTGAATTGTTTCCAAATAATAAGATATATATGTTGTACGTAAATATCCAGGTAATTCGAGGATTTCGCGTTACGAATTGTAAATTGCAATTATCGTGCTTACTCTGCGCACGAAATTTGAACGCGTTTTACAATTACATCCCTGCTCACGATGATTAAAATAAATATTCGCGATGCACATTATTGGCGCTTCAGTGATACGTCGTGTGCAAACGATACATCACGTCGCAGTGAGATTATGAAAACTAATATCGTTTGTTCAACTTTCCATTTCCATAACGTAAAATAATGTTATAAATATTCGGCCCCGTCGATAAATCGTTATTTTATATGAGGCTTAGCACGCGCGTTGCTTTGACAAATATTTTATGCCACTCGAGGCAGACACAGTGCTTTCGATGTTCATGATTCGTTGCCTCTCGTTAAAACGCACGTGACGGTGCAATAGCGGCGATTAACGGCTTGTTGATGCATATATTATAATACCATATTCTCGAACGGTGAAGTATAGTTTTAATTTCCTGTCAAGCCCCAAATTGTAGCTCGTTGACGTACATGGTGATGCACCGAGTTGTTCCTATGCATAAGAATCGTGGGGCACGTTGCAAGACTGATATAAATGAGGAATATAATAATGAATATTCATCAAAATCCCAACTATGGAGAGGCGTTGATGAATTCTTCATCACAATAGCGTTAATCTAAAATATATTGTGAATACCTCGTTCGTGGCTTTCGTGAACATACCACAGTTTACAATAAGCTCAAATACGCACTTGCGCGCTTGTATGTATTCAATGCAAATTCCTCATGCAAAATGGTTTGAATAACTATAGCTCAAAACGCATATTGTACTGAAATCTGAGCATTAAGATAACAGGAAGAATTACGTATTTATTAAGTACATTAGAATTACTATGTCGAAGGTTTGCATGTGCATTGCGTTATAAAAGCATCCCTTAATTTCCAATTATGTCATTAAGATCTGAGAACTTCAACTGTCACATCTGGCGGGTAATCATATAATTGTTAGTGAACTTGCCCCCTTTTCACTTTTGGCTGCTTGAATTCTCACGCGATCTCGTGGAATCTCATTGCTTAACGTTGAAAGGTCTTACGTGATCTCAGCAAATTCACGTGAAGATTTTCGCTTATCATCTTTCTACTTCTCGAGGAAAATTACGTAATTGATCTCCCGAGTTGTCCAATTTTCCTACAATAAAAGAGTCTAGATTCATTTTTCTTGATTCATCTGCTTGCTCCCGAGAACAATGCACCGGCTTTATTTTACGAAAGCACCGGCGATTCTTTCTACCAGGCCGGCACCGTAAAATCGAGTCGCGAATACGGCGTCTGAGAAAAGGAAAAAGCACAGATCGAAGTGGAAAGTATTACGAAGCGCTACACACTTTTATAAGCAAGAAATCGTCTCTTTTGCCCCGCAAGCTGTGGTGGAAGTGTAGGACGGAAAAAAAAAAGGGATGAGAAGTTTAAGCGAACAGCATTCAGCTGTATCGTAGGCACGGCACGTGGCGCAATATTGAAACATGCGCGAAGTCAAAGTTTGCAAATACCATCTCATCGCCGAGTCATGCTCCTGGGTGGTGCATCGAGCGTGCAACACATCCGCCGGTCTTTCCATCGCGGTTGTATCGAACGGAAGAAGTGTTCGCGTTCTGCAAACTATATCAGCCAATCTGGAAACGTGCGATACTCGGAAATATGTCGAAACTATACTTGGACCTTTCCGGCCGGTTTCGCATGTGGTACGATGAACGAAAGACTGCAAGTTGGACGTGGTTGAAAATGTGTTGATGTGTTGGCTTGCGGGGGTCCGTTGATCTCGAGAGGAAAAGCAGAGCGCCGGTAGTATTATGATAAGATATTCACTGACAGAAACAGGAGAGGAAAGGAATTTTCAGCTTCCACCGCTGCCGTACCCGCGTATCTAGAATGTAATATAAGGAGACGTGGGGGAAAATAGCGACGTTACTCGCTTCGAGTGGCCTCGTCTGTGGGGATGAGACGGGAAGATAGAGAGAGAGAGAGAGAGAGAGAGAGAGAGAGAGAGAGAGAGAGAAAGAGAAAAAGGGAGAGAACTAGAGAGAGATTTTGCTTCTCTCGAGAGGGATGATACCGCGAGCGGTAGGCGTGTGTATGGGTGTAACGTGATGGGCTGCGCATGCACACTCGTACCGGTCTTATTTTATGGCGAAATTATTCTGGGAGAAAAATAATTCAATCTCCGCGCGGTGCAAGTTACGGTACTTGGCATCCACGCTCCCCCGTATTCGAGTGCCGCTCGTTTCTGTGGACTCGGAATGCCGATCGAAGAGCGTATCGGCTTTCACTTTCCATTCTTGACATCGGCATCCCACAGCGATAATCACGTGAAAAAATAAAAGTCCCTGGTCGGGAAAATTGATCTTCTCATCGTTGTTTTGCTGCGTTTTAATTTACAAGACGAGAACGTCGTTGTTTACGTGGTCACTTTTAGTTTTTTTGCACGTCTTTGTGAGAAGAGGGATATGTGCATATTTTAAGTGGAATTTTTTAATATTGCTTGAGATGATCGCAATCACGAAATACGAATTTCTACACTGATAGAAATGATTAGCTGCTGCAGCAAGTTATAAAATATGACATAGCATTTTTAATTGGCTGCTGCAATCAATTAAAAATACTATGCCATATTCAGCCAATTTTTTCTTTCAGTGTAAACTCAAAGGAAAGAACTTTTTCAAATATTCAATTTTACGTAGTAAAGGATTACTGTAAAAGTATATTAACCTATCGGTGTATTACATTTTGTAGAAAAATGTTTACATTCGATTCGACAATTCAAGGTACAGGTTTTTTTTTAGATGTGAGCGAAGGGAATAACTGTAATGGGCGAATATCCCCGAAACTATTTGAAATATCAAAAAATCGTTTTGAATTTTCAAGCAAAAGTTTGATGGAACATGGGTATGCGATGGAAACATGGAAAACCTATATAGCAATCGAATAACTAAACGTCAAAAATCAGGTGTCAGATTTCGTAGTTGGTAGTTGCACTCGAACAACTTGAAACTGTTATCGTTTCCATTAAAACTAGCATTTGTTAAAATAACTTAAAAATTCGTCAAATCTAAAGTACGTTAATTTGACAATAAATTGCCAGTGATTGCTGCTGCAATCAAAATTTTTAAAGAGATGCCAAATTAAATGTAGTAATTATATGTATCCTATATTACGTAAATATACATTTAAATACATATTTAGATATAGGACAATTTTTTTTATACATCTTCTCTAATGTTTTAAACATTATTTTATTTGTTTTATATTTTGTTTTTGGTGTATAATATTCCGCATGTAAATTTTTGAGAAATACAAATGTATAAATATTAAATCAAAATTATGGACGGAGAATAATGTGAGATAATGTAATTATAATGCACATACTAAATGAAAATTATCTCTGGTTTATAAAGTATAAAACAAAACATTTTTATCTAATTTTGCAATATTTTATTTCCATATTGTGGGTTTTCATGCTCGTGATCATTAGCACATCGATTTACGTGAGGCAATATTTAAAACATTTCTATAATTTTACATTTTGCTTCTTGCGATCACAATCATTTGTAAGATGTCGCGAATAAAAGTTACGACGGCCAGTAGTAAAGGTAAAGCACGAGACCGACGCGACGTTGTTATGTCCTTCCGTGTCGTAAAATAGGTAACTACGTTAGCGGCTTTAAGCAATCGAGATTCGAACGCGATAAAATGGCTGCACCGTTTCTATAGCAGTTTCTCTGCAGGAAGCCTCCGAGGTGAGAAACTTGATATCAAAATAAATTGCCGTATCATATCGTGACGTTGTAAAGAATCTGGGAGAATTCGGGCATGTACGATGATGTTAAACCAAACAATATTGTATTCGTGATACATGTGAACATTATACG